ACTTTATTAGCCCTATACAATTTCTTGCATTAGGAATTCATCTTTTCACAGACCCCAGCTTGCTCTCCATAAGATACGGAAAGGGAGAGAAGCCATTGTACAGCACCCCTGGAACAGTTGGGGTTAAGGGCCTTGCTCAGGGGCCCAACGGAGTAGGATTACTCTGCCAGCTACAGGATTTGAACAGGCAACCTTCCAGCCACAGGCGCAGATCCTTAGCCACAGAGCCACTGCTCCGCCCAGAAGATAGCCACCAGTAGCAGATATCACTCCTCCACACACCCAACAACTCGCAATAGCCCCCAGAAATGCTCAAAATGGTCCAAGACACTCCTCACCTGCCACCTCACAAGGATATATTTAATCCACCAAACATACATCTGCCTTCAAGAAAGCCAACCTGGAACAACCCTCCGCTACAAGACTTCAACGCAGACTCCACCTGGGCTCAAGAATAGGCATCGCTGGTTGTAACAAACAAGCACCTCTTCACATGCCCCACACAACAACCTCCCAGCTTGCACCTTCCAAGAAAGAGTGGTCCCCTCTAGACTGCTTTAGGACCGGTCCACGTCCTGCCAGCCTCAACAGATTGGGTATCAGTGCAGCCCTCTTTGCTCCTAAAGGGACAGAGCAAACTACCCAGCCCATCCTAGGGGCCTCCCCACGTCACAGTCTCAGTGAAGGACTACACACCCCCAACACAGCCCGCTTAGAAACTATCGCTTGGCTCAAGGACTTTGCATTTGCTCAGTTAATAACTACAGAATGCGTGGTGCGAGACCGAAGCAGGCCTGGGCGTCACGGCACCTGCCATGTTTTAAGTCAATCAGGGCAGCAGCTCCTGTACCTGTGGTTGTCTGATGGCTGAGAAAGAAATGGTGGTCAGCTCTTCTTGCTCTTCTGTGCACAGTGGCACAGTTGTTAGCAGTGATGCTTCCCAGTGCTGGGGCCCTGAGTTCAACTCCAGCTCTGGGGTGCTATTGTACGCTCTCACACAGTCCAAAGACGCACTATGAGGCTAATTGAATTCTGGGAGAATTGGCCCTGCTGTGAATGGCTGTGTGTGTGTGTCTGTGTTTCTGCTGTGAAATGGGCTGGTGTCCCATCCAGGGTGGATGCTTGTGTCTGTGGCTTGTCAAGATAGGCTCTGGCTCCCCTGCACCCCTGAATTAGACGAAGCAGTTAGAGAATGGATGGATTATCATTTACACATTTGCATGTTTTTAAATGGACCATATTCTTTTAGGATTTTTTACCATGCAAGATATTTTTTAATTGTGATATATGGATTCATTGTGTGCAACATAATATACAGTGAATCAACAATAGTAGTTCATCTATCGACTCGTATCCTGAACACAGTCAGCATGCCATGGATATTGTCAAAGCTGCACATCGGTTCTCTGCCTTATTATTATAACATGATAACATGACTGTAACACAGTACTGGATTGTGTGCCCACACATCACTTTCTATGCATCCTCCCATGTTTAATAAAACATTTCCCAGCCATGCATAATTTCTCATCATGAATGATAACCAGCATGCCGAGCCATGCATAATGAACATGACTGAGGCAAGTGGGGGAGGTGTGAGTTGTATTGCCCAACACTGGAACTGCTTATGTTAATGATCACCGGCATTGTTACTCAACAGCATGGTTAATCAGAAGCCCAGCAAGTTACAAGAAGAGCTTGAAGCAATTGCAGGCCTGCTGCTTCCCGATCTTGGGCTGCGTTTTTCTGGGGCTCCCTCGTGTGATCCTGCCTGACCCCGAGGGCAGCCACTCTGAGCACAAGAAATCTCTCCTGAAGTTGACACACAGGTGTTACAGATGTTGGAAAGGACGAACCATGCAATGGCAAGAGAGCGAAAATAGACCCTATACATAGGGGCGAGACAGGGGTTAGCCCAGGCTCAGCTGTTCAGGAAATGCCATATAGAAACCTATGCCCTCAGGCCACAGACAAGAGCGACCTAGAGCTAGGCAGGTCTCAGGACATCCGAACTTCACTGCTAAGCGAGGAGCAGATCCGAAGCAGGAAGTAAATGGGCCATACAATAAGACACACCAGAAAGACATGAATAATCACAGGGAACTAGGAAAAGGAGAGATGTAGAGCGCTCTCTAGGTGTACTGGGCGTGACACAAGTCATCTCTCAGGGAATGAACACTGAAAAATGACTGTACTCCAACACCACTACGTACACGACAACTGAATGTAAGCCGAAATTGTACTTAAAACTGTATTAGTTGTAATATTTATTAATCACCGTACAATTTTTGCACTGTTCCCCAAATTACTTTTGCACTGTCTTTGTCCTGTTGTATTCTTTCTCTGTTTGCGTATTTGCACAGTTTTGATTACACTGTTATGTTATTACACTGTTATTGTGTGACTGTCTATTATCTTATCTTCTGTTCTATTTATATACTGCACCTGAGTGACTAAGGACAAACACTTTTCACTATACTATGCACCTGTGTAAGTATAATGACACATAAAGTTGAATTGAAAAAAACAGACCACAGAGATTCCAACACATATATTCACACTAGTTCAAGCAGGTAGCTGGGCTACAAAGGAGCAAGTACAGGTTTATTCCATGCTGGAAAGAGAAGAAAAGAAACACAACATTTCACAAAAATATTGTCTGTGATATTGCATTTCCTCCACAACCTTCAAAAACAGTTCAGAAAAAGCATTTTGATTATATTTTACTGAGTTACTGATTTCG